CCCCCCCCGCGTTTTGGAGCTGTAAGGGAGAAAGGAAGAGGGTTTTCACCCGCTCCGCCTTCGGCAACCATCCAACACGCCCCCCAAGGTCGGCGGATATGTTCCCTAATGGCTTGAATAGGGGACCCTATAGACAAATATTTTTCAATGGGTTTTAGGGGCCAGCCTAGATTGTCATTCGAATAGTAGTGGTCAGTATGTATTAGTCGCTGCCACCTTCCGCTGCACAACAATAACAACGACAAGAACAATTACTACAACGACAGCCAAGACAACAGCAGCAGCTATGCCTAGTGGTATAGTCCCCCTTAAGTGGATAGAATATAGCTTTGGGTATATCATAATAAGATCTCCATATACCCCATATTCTATCTACTTGAGGGGGCCTATATTCTTACGATAATTTTTGAGTTAGACCGCGTGCTGCTTCCGGAGTTGCATCGACAGTCTTGCAGGGCGTCAATGATCGTCAATACACGAGCATGGTGGTGCTGAGTCTGGTAGAGATGCTCCTAAACACGCAAAAGCTAGGCCTAGAGTCTTTATACACCCATGTTATTTTGAGTGGTCCGTCCATTGTTACCAGATGTAACCAGAACCCTCGCCGTTGCCGTGGCCGGTTTGCCGGGGCCTGTTTGCAGCGACAAGTCAGGCATCCGGCTGTAGCTGGCCACTGGTCCCAAGAGTACCTGCATAACCCTGCTGGGGCCGGTCCACTCCTTTGAATACATTCTTGCAGTTGGTCTGAAGGCTTGCTTTTTGGGTAGAAGTGGAAGCGCGTGCAGGGAAGGTGCTCTTCGCAGATTAGCGTTCTGGGTAGTGGTGCATGTGAAGAGAATGATTTGAAGGAAGAAGTTGTACCCTGGGAATCCCTGAGATCTCGGATGTTGCCACGTGCAGGCACACATGCCAGGGTAGGCATAAGCCAGCAGCCCCCTTTTTTCGGACACGGGGCACGACCGAGGGACTGGGGAGTGAAACTTTTCTCAGGCCGCTGTGGGAACCTTCAGCTGGCTCTGTGAGAATGGTCTCGACTTGTACAGGAAGTAGGTGTCCTAGGTATTTCCCGAAAATCCTGTCTTGCGACCTGTCTACTATGAATTACACGTTCGAACTATTTAATATTTTCTTAATTATGATATTGCAGTAAGGCTTCGTAAAGCTTAGACGTTGGGCACGGGTTCCGAGACGGAGATCGGTCCAGCACTGGCTAGCGTCGCCCTTTTCGTGGGCGGAGGGTGTGATGTTGTGGCTTTGGGAATCTCTGAATGATGGTCCGCTGCGGGTTTCATTGAAGAAATGCATTTAAGAAGGGGACCATTCATCACTTTCGTATCCCCGTGGAGAGCTAACTCACAGACAGATCCGACACAGCGACCAGAGTTTAGGGAAGCTCCCAGATACTCACTGGCACAACAGAGCTTTTGTCTTGCGCAGTTCGGAGCCGACAGCTCCTCGAGTGCAGCATGCTTTGTTGGGCAGTCAGCGGCACTAGTGACGGCCACTGGGCTCCGTTTCAGCAGGGAATATCTTCGGTTCTATGCGCGTATCACGATGCCCTATAATCCCAAGAGTTTCCATTTCATCTTCCATTGTCCTAATATAACCCAATATAACCCCAGTATACTATAGTAGTTTCCATTTCATTTTCCATTGTCCCAATATAACCCAATACTACCCCAGTATACTATAGTAGTTTCCATTTTATTTTCCATTGTCCCAACGTAACCCAATATAACCCCAGTATACTATAGTAGCTTCCATTTTATTTTCCATTATCCCAGATATGAGGTCTTTTGACCTGAAGGCCGGACCTATGCTCTGCAACCCTACCCTGTAGAGCTACACCATCCATCTGCGCCCGCGGAGAAAGAAAACCCTAAACCCTAAACCACAGCTGAGGTGAGAGAAGCCGGCTACAGGAAATTCGTGGCTGCTTGTGATGACTTGTGGGATGATTTCATGCTGAGCCCACCATGCAGGGCAGCAGTCTACAAACCCAGATTTCATGGTGCCCCGTGGCCGTGAAGGTAAGGCTGCTAAACACTTCTAGATTGTTGACTGCTGCCGGGCCGACACGCCGGGAATCTTGCATGGTGAGATTTGCCACTTTCGTTGTCACGACTGCAGCATCATTAGAAATTTCGGCAATGCTGTTCGCTCAAAGCTCCCTTGCCAGCGTGCCGAAGTTACTCAGATGGCCACATAGCGACAGAAGTACCTTGGAGTCAGAGGTTCAGCTGTGCAGAACACACAGCCTTCCCTGGCTCCTGGGCCAATCAATTTTGTACAGCCTCCTGTATAGAGCCCAGAGACCAGCTAGTGTGGATTTGATTTGCAAGCGTGTCAGGAAAGATGTGCTCAGGCTTCTGTGGGTATTTCTCAAATGGGTCATAGAGTATATTACGGCACCTAATATTGATATGGGGGTACCAAAATGGGACCCTAATTTTAATTTTGGGAACTACCCAAGTGTCAGTTTCGGAATGCGCCGAAAAGTATCAGGATCGTCGTATAGGGAGAATCCTGCGACAATTTCTGAAAACCTGGCACTTGCGCGAGAGCCCACATAGACTCTTCAATTAACTTTAATGGGAAACCCAAAGCAGGGAGTTATATAGTAGCCATATATTAGGAATACCTCTCCCATACCTACCCTAGCCCCTAAACTTTAAACCCTAAACCCTAAAGCCTAAACTTTAAACCCTGAACATATTCGGAATATACCTACCAGGATCCTTGTATTCCTACTATCTTCAGACTAGACTTTTGGGGTTCCCTTTTTTTGGGGGGGTTCCTATTATACTTCCTTTAGCTGTCAGAGCAACATCAGAGTTGAACGAAACCCTAATCCCCAAACCCTAAACCCTAAGTCCTAAACCCTAAACCCTACAAACCCTATAACCCTATAACCCTATACCCTATAATAACCCTATAACCCTAAACCCTGTAATAACCCTATAACCCCTAAACCCCGAAAAATCCTAAACCCTAAACCCTTAAGAAGGACTGCTGCTGGGATTTGGGCATGCCGTGGTTGCGACGGCCCTGAACGCAGGGCCGGGAGCTTATACCAAAACATAGGCACATGGGTTGAGGGTTTAGGATCTAGTGGGTATCCTCCAAAATCAGAGGTATGTCCCAATAGTAATGATCATAGTATTTTGTGGTCTGTATTGGCGTTCCCCTGCATTTGGGCAATTACCATATCATCTTCATTTCAACACCCAGTATTTGTTATCCGATAAGTAGTAGAACACAAAGTTCTATGTAGATGTATGTATATATGCTTGGCATAACATACCTGATATACTGAGTATGCCATTACAGAAGCCCCACCAGCTGAACCCCTAAATCCCAAACCCTGAACCCCAAACCCTAGAACCCAAAACCCCAAACCCGAAACGCTAGACCCTAAACTCTAGACCCTACAGAGTATTAGCTTTATAGGGCTTGTAGGGGGTGCATCGGGTTATGTAGGGTTATGTAGGCTTGATTATATGGTACTTTCCCAAAATAAGAGGACCCCAATATACCCCAAAATACTATAGTCCTTAATATGGGGCCCCCAATAAGGTAGCCCTAATTTTGGGAAACCCTCATATAGGGACACATATAGGGACCCTAAACCCTAAACCCTAAACCCTAAACCCTAAACCCTAAACCCTGAACCCTAAACCCTTAACCCTAAACCCTAAACCCACAAACTAGCATAGACTATCATCTAGTGTTGCTGAGTCCGATTCACAGTCGCCAGACCGCTACATGACCTTGGAGCTGCAGCTCTCAGCTCCCCCACCCGGTTTAGGGTTTAGGGTTAAGGGTTTAGGGTTTAGGGTTCAGGGTTTAGGGTTTAGGGTTTAGCCCTGAAGGCCTAAAGATAAAGATGCAAACCCTAACAAATCTAAACCTTTATCCCCCAACAACCCCGAACCTACAACACCCCAAGCCCAGTAAGCTCAAGGTTGGGCCAGCGATGGGGCTTCATGACCTTCATGTTTGCTCTTTCTCTGCAGCCGGTGCCTCAATGGCTTAGAGCTTATTGGGAGGTTCTCATGATGATAAAACAGCAGCGATGAACTGAAGAACATTCTCTTACGAGCATCACTGTCATTGATGCTGTCTTTAGCGCTCGAAGACCTTGTCGCTGTTTGTGCAGTTATGTCTTCGGGGTTTCGCTACCCGTTCTAGAGATAAGATTTGAAACCCCAAGCCCTGATCCATATACCGTACTTATTTCACGTTTGTAACCCTGTTGAAGCACTCACCATGGTGTCAGAGAACCAAAACCTCCAACGCTAAGCCCTGAACCCTGCATACCAAACCCCAAACCCTACTTAGCCCCACTATTGGTTCTTAGTAGGGAATAAGGGAATGAATTATTTGAGCCCTAGTCTAGACTCCCAGTATCCCTCTTAATAACCCCTACAATAGCCCCTACAATAGCCCCCCCCATATATTCCCTTATAAAACCCCCTTCAAAGAGTTTAGGCTATAGCTCATATGGAGATTACATAGGCATTCTATTCCGTTAGTCCCCACAAGAACCACTAAGCCTAAGGCTTAGACCTTAAACCATGCTCTCTAAACACAAGACTCTAGATCCCCCAAGCCCGGAACCCAAAACTTGCTATAACACGTCAGTCCCGTACTTACAGTGATATTCATATTCATATACATATATGCATATGTAGACTACCAGTTTCCATTTCATTTTTGATGTTCTTTTCCGTTGGGTTCTCCATCATTCTATCCTACTGTATGTATTAGGAGGACCCCCCTCCCTGTAATAGTGGTAAAATCGGAATATAAGAGGACCCTAATATAATCCTTATTATCCATAATTAGTCACAACCCTAAACCCTAAACCCTATTACTGGGTGGGGGGTCCACCTAATTTGTTTTCGCGCAGAGCTCAGCCTAAAGGTTTGGGCTGAGAAGACACAACGCGCGCGGTGGCATCCTCGGGAGCTTGCTTAGGGCCTACCTAGACCCTAGGGTTTAGGGTTTAGGGTTTAGGGTTTAGGGTTTAGGGTTGTGACTAATTATGGATAATAAGGATTAATATTAGAGTCCTCTTATATTCCTATTATACCACTATTGTAGTTCCTTTTTGGGTTTGGTATGGTTTTTTGGTTAGGATTCTTATTAGGATTACCAACAAGGTACTACATTAGAGGGTCTAGGTAGGGGTGTTGGGGGGTTTCGGGTTTTGGGGGCTTGGGGGTTTTGAGGTTTCGGAGTTTACTTTAGAAGTTCGGGCTTTAAGGTTTGGTTTCAGGATCTGGGCTGCGAATGACGTAGGGTTTACTTGATGAAATCAAGCGGGAGAAAAGGGTGCTATCAAGGAGAAGGTCGAATCGCCTTGGTGCTTGTCTTGGGGGAAGGCAGCTATTTCTCGTCCTACGCCGTGTCACGTCATGCATCCCCCCAAGCCTGAAGTATCGGCCGCAATAATCCGAAATAAGCCTGTAATTGTGGGGGCCAAAGTAATGCGGGGACCGTGGTAGCCTCATGGAACCCTAAACTAAACCTTAGATCGTGCTAGGTGTTACTAGAACCTGGAAGCTTTCGATTCAAGATTCAGGATGAGATTGAAGCTACTAAAGTGGGCTCTATAGAGGTTCTATGGGGGCTCTATAGGTACTCTATAGGGGTTATAGGGAATCTTAAGAAAAGACGTGTGGTGCTCATCTATCGGAACAGCGCATGTCACCAAAAGAGTGGTAGGGAGACAGAAGGAACGGTAGCTTCAAACTATGTGCCGTGGCTAAGTAAGTAGTTCAGAAACGCAGTTTCTAGCTACAGATATTTCGTCCGTCAAAAGATTTGGGCTCCTTTTCATGAGGGCTACTTGCGTTTTTGTAATGAAGGGGGGCTCGGGATTTGGTTTCCTTGGCTAAGCAGATCAGCGTCCTGTTAACGCCTTCTAATTTATGTTGTTGTCGTAGATCGTCTGGGGATGGGGTTGTTGCAGCATTGGGCTTTTATTGAGGGTTGGCAAAGGCAAGTGGAACAATCGGATTCTCCAAGGAACCTATACATGGGTGTCTTTGGAGTGGGCCTTTGAATTGTTGTTGACTGAGTTGGGTCACTCTTACGAGGATTGGGGAACCCAATTTACTCAAGGATGCAGCCCTAAACCCTGATCCGTGTATCCTTGAAGACATGAAAATGCCAACGTACCTGGTGGCATTGGGGGAGGCTTTCCTACATCCAGGACTAATTCGGATTCGTGGAAAAATGTTGGATGTTTTTTTGGGGGCCCGTGATGTTGGGAACTTGCCGGGCGAGCCATTTCAGGGACTTCCCATTTTGCAATCCTAAAGGGGCAGGATAAGATTGACATAGCACCTTGTAATTATATATTGGGAAGTATGATGTTTTAGTTTACTAAGGTCATGCTTAAACCTTATAAAGCATTATATAAAGTCCATGCATTTTCTTTTCAATTGGATTCCCTCATATTGGTAACTGTATATATCCAAAAGGCAAACTTCTAGGTAGTCTCGCAACATCATGGGTCCTGGTTGGAGCGCCTCTGGAGTAAAGGATTCTATCGTGTAGGGTTTTTGTGCCGAGACCGTACACCCAGATGCTTACTCCACTATCAAGAGATTTGGATGAAGAGATGTACTTCTTGCTGCATACCCTGCTTGTTTTGGATTGCACGGGGTCTGCAACACCCAGTATTGTACTCTTGTGTACAGCAAAACGCTTTGATGTTGAGTGCTGCTCGTGGAGGCTATAATGTGGCTCGCTTCACGGCCGTTCTTCTGAACAGCGTGCTGGTGATGGTGGTTGCAGCCTAAGTGGTTTAGGGTTTAAGGGTACCACCACCCGTAGTGGGGATCTATCCTCGTGCAGAGCTGGTGTTTAGGGGGGCCAAACCCTGATGAGCTCAGCTGGAGTAGCTGCCAAGAGACGAAGAACAATGAAACCAAAAAATTGGATGTATCTTTAAGACAAACTCCCAAGCATCCTGACTAAAGACCCCCCCAGAATCCCCCCCCTGAGTATGGAAGTATGTATGAACTCCTGAGAGTTGCCAAGTATTTTTCGCAAGTACCAAATATCTTCTTGTCATATGGGTAGTTCCCAGGATTAGGGTCCCATTTTGGTACCCCTAAATATTACATGCCGCAATATAACCTATAACCAAAACGGGCCCATACACCCTAAACCCTAACACCTAAACCCTAAGGAGTAGTTCCATTTTCTTTTCCATTATCCCAATATAATCCTTATTGCGGTAGTATAACCAAAAGGGGTTCATAATTTTGAGAATGACCCAAATCTTTTCTTGTCATATTGGTGATTCGGGGGGACTGGCTTACCTAAACCCTAAGCCTCAAGGCCCAGCCCTACACCCCAAACCCTAAACCCTAAACCCTAAGCCCCGAACTCTAAACCTTAAAGCCTAAACCCCAAACCCTAAACCCTGGATTCTAAAAACTTAGCCCCCGACCCCTCAATCGGAATGAAATTCTGGATCGTCTTTGGGCGGGTTTTCGGAACAAGTCCTTAATCCTCAGTTATGGGACTATTGGGCATATCCTAAACCCCAAGCCCTGAACCCGAACCCTTTCATTATGACTGGTCAGTCTCTGACTGCATAGGTCTCCCATAGGCATTCTGAGAAGACATATATAAACTCAACATATTGTAGTTTCCATGTTCTTTTCCATTATGGTTATATAACCCCAATATACGATATAGTAGTTTTACATTTTCTTTTCTACTATCCCTATAAGCAAGACCCCTTGTTCTTTGTACGGACTTGAGAAACGGGGGCCAGAAATGGATTCCAATATCTTCTAATCCTTACTACGGGCGTTCACAAAAATGGGCCCTGATTTTTGGAAAGAACCCGCCATATAACCCCTCCCAATTTCCATTTCATTTTCCACGTTCTTTTCGATTTGAGTTTCCGCTATTGGGTTAGTACCCCTAAATGTGCTTACACTAAATGTGCTTTCATTACCTTATATGTAAGCCCCATATGTCCCCCTACATCTCTACAAATCCCATTCTTGACGTAATGCCCCTGATCTTCGTAAGCTTCTAAAAGCTTGACATAATCGGGGGAGTGCCAACCATGGTGGTTCTTAGGATTAGGTCCCTTGATAGAGTTACAGGGATATATGAGGTGCCTAGGGTTGGTCCCTTTACAGAGCTATCGCGAGATAAAGGGCTTTTAGGGTGTAAAGGGTTTGAGGAAGTGGAGAATCAATTGGATGGACGATACAGTGGAACATGAAAAGCAAACTGGGGCCATATACCCTAAACCCTAAACCCAACCTTAACCCTAGACCTAATATGGTGGTAAGCCTGATATAGTGGTTGGAAGAGTGTAGGCATGGCCTTTAAAAAAACTAGAACATCATAAGTCTCCATGTAGGAGGTAGTTAGGGCCATGCAGGATTTTTTTAGTATGAACTGTAAAGACCGTGAATCTCGAAAAGCGGGGTAAGTCTAATGACAGTCATTCTGATTACGTTCTTCGGAGGAGAATCAATGTTTGCAAAGGGTCCTGAGCGCAACTTCATAGATTTTAGGGAAGGCTTAGCTGAATGAGGGTTAAACCCTAAACCCTCGACCCCTAAAACGTAACCCCCAACCTAAACTGATTACCCCTGAACCCCCATGCCCTAAACTCTAAACCCTCATCAAGAAAGACTCTTAAGGTTGGCGTCGTCGTTCTGTCCATCGTCTGCCTGGCTGCTTTTTTGCTTTGTGCAAAGAATTAAAGCAATAGTTTCAGCCTACATCCAATTCAGGATTTCTCAGTCATATTTCGTATATAATCCCAAGTAAATAGTAGCTCCAATTTTGTTTTTCATTTCCATCTGACTCTCCATTACTGGGCATAACATCTTTGCTAGACGGGTGTTTTGGATGGGTAATATCCCCCTATACGGGCGTAATTCTTTGTCAGAGCTGTGTTTTGGAATCGCCAGGCCACGGTCAATGTCGACAGCAACTGGTCTGCCTTCTGCACGGAAGGGGATTCCACATGCAAGTACTACGAGGTGCTTCAAGTTTTCAACATTTGCCAATCCCGAAAAACCACCAACTACCAGCACCACCAGCACCATCAAATACACCTAGTTTCCATTTTCTTTTCATTTGATTCTGCATCGTTGCGGAGAAATCTCCAAACCCTAAATAACTTCCATCTATCCCTTAACGGCACCTAAGGTTTCCACTTCACGTTGCACTGTTTCCATTTGAATTCTCCATTATTGAGCAGCATAGTATCTGCCCAAATCACCAACACAACCACAACAGTGCTGCGGCACTCCGAGTTGTAGCTCTTCTACAGGTGCCTCTCCAACTCCTACCCTAGCTGCTCCTCCTGGGGTTCAGGGTTTAGGGTATAGGGTTTAGGGTCTCAACCCTAAATCTCCCATTCCTCCGGGTCTGGCTTTCATTTCTGCACTACCAACTGCCAACACCACAGCTGCCACCACCACAGCTGCCACCACCATACACCGCCAGCACCCCCCTTCGTCGCCCCCACCGCCACCGCGACCGGCACAGTCACCACCACAATGCCCCGCCAACGCAAATATTTCTAGCATGATTGCTGCTTGCACTATGCACCTTCATACTACAAGTTGTAAAAGTCGCAGCGCCGGCAACAGAAGTAGTTAAGATGCCTCTAAGTTCCAGATCCGTTACCATGGTTCTGGTTCATACCATGCCTATGCTTTCATGACAACCGCTGTCATTTTTCTTTTCGAGGTTCGTAACGCCACAAAGTATGAAACACTTATTCTTTTTGGTGTCTTCTTGCTTTCACGATTTGTGGTCAGTATGCTTTTCTGCAGTTCAGCAACATGTCCGCTGCTGCCCTAAACCCTAAACCCTAAACCCTAAGCTCTCCTTGGAAGGTGCCTTACAAACCTCCCAACGCATCGCTGCCGTTGGAGTGCGACCGTCACTTTCGGTATGGCAAGAGCGGGTGCCTTCCTTACCTGTAGTCTAGGGTTTAAGGGTTTAGGGTTTAGGGTTTAGTCTAGGGTTTAAGGGTTTAGGGATGAATTTGCCTTCTAAGTCTGTGCAGCAAGGGTAGAATAAGCCCAAAACAGCCCAGGAAGTCCAATATTCCTTAATCAGGGAATATACTTAAGAGCCTCCGGCTCAGTCCGCCGACCCAGTGGCGGAGAAAGCACGAAAGCCTAAACGCGAAACCTTGAGGGTTTTCAGCGGCTGGCA